CAGCAGTGAGATCGTGGCCTGCTCAGAGACGAGATCGTGGCCTGCTCAGAGACGAGATCGCGGCCTGCTCAGAGACGAGATCGTGGCCTGCTCAGAGACGAGATCGTGGCCTGCTCAGCAGTGAGATCGCGGCCTGCTCAGAGACGAGATCGCGGCCTGCTCAGAGATGAGATCGCGGCCTGCTCAGAGATGAGATTGTGGCCTGCTCAGAGACGAGATCGTGGCCTGCTCAGCAGTGAGATTGTGGCCTGCTTAGCAGTTTGATCGCGGCCTGCTCAGAGACGAGATCGTGGCCTGCTCAGAGACGAGATCGTGGCCTGCTCAGCAGTGAGATTGTGGCCTGCTTAGCAGTTTGATCGCGGCCTGCTCAGAGACGAGATCGTGGCCTGCTCAGAGACGAGATCGTGGCCTGCTCAGCAGTGAGATTGTGGCCTGCTTAGCAGTTTGATCGCGGCCTGCTCAGAGACGAGATCGTGGCCTGCTCAGTGACGAGATCGTGGCCTGCTCAGCAGTGGGATCGCAGCCTGCTCAGAGATGAGATTGTGGCCCGCTCAGCGGTGAGAGCACAGCAGTCACTGTAGGCACATGGCTGGGCAGCCGTGCCCAGGAGTCCAGCCCCGCTCAGGTCCTGGACGAGTGCCTGCCCCCCCCCGCCCCCCCCGCCCCGAAGCCCTCTGGCATTTGTGAGATGCCAAGAAATGTTATCGACTCAGCTGGATCCTATCGATGAGGCATCGCTTTACATCGGGTGGTCCCACTTGTATGGATGTGGTCCATGGGGACGTCGAGCCACACGGTAACAGCTGTAACCCCAGGGTTTCTCATTGCGATTCGTTTGCTGCTCCGTGTCTTATCTGCGAACTCCTTTCCTACCATGGAGACCAGCCAACTGCCGTCTGATGGTGGTCGCGAGCACAAGAGTGGTGGCACCCCCCCGCCCCGCCAGGGGTCTGCACTTGGCCTTTTATTCTGCAGGTAGGCTGTCTTCAGAATCTGATATTTGCCACGGGGCTTGTCCTGTGGCCTGTACTCATTAAAAGATAGAATAGTTTGCGTGTATTGATGAAATTGTGAAATAAACTTGCTTTTCTTTCTTTCTGAAACCAGGCTAAAAGTCCTTTCAGGAATTACAGTTGTAAACCAGCGACGGTTGCTTGTGTATATAGACGAGTTGGTGTTTGTTTTCCTTCTGAGGGAAAAAGCATGTATCCTTAATTGTGGGCAAGGTTCCTTTTAGTTCTTTCCCTTGTCTTGTGTTTGAGTGAACCTGAGGGCTGAGGGACTCAGAGCCCCATCAGTTCTTGTCGTGTTGGCGGTTTTCACCTTCCTGCAGAGATGCTTTCTCCAGAACAGCTTCAGAGCTTCCAGGAAAGCATCTGTGGTGGCGGCGGCCTCAGTTGTTCTGGGGGTCGGAGCAGTGCCGTGTCTCCTCCTGATGGGAAGCAGGTCATCCGTCCTCACGGCCAGTGCCCCAGAGGCCGCTCCAGAGTCCAGTCAGCGGGGCCGCCGGAGGGAGAGAGGCCGGCAGCGGCCCCGGGCGGTGGAGCTGATGAGGGCTTTCTGGCTGAGAGCGCTCTGATCTCTGACCTCACTGATGGGTCCCATGGCCCATCTCGGAGGAGACCTTGCCTGTGTTATGTCCCTGCCCTGTGCTGTCTGGGGCTGAGGTGCAGACTCGGGGTCTGGCTCTGGAAACCTGTGTTCTGACCTGTGCCCCCAGGCCGCTCTGGGGACAGCCGGGGGCGGAGGAGAGGAGGGCTCAGCAGGTGGGATGGGGGCTGCCCTTCCAGCTGCACCTCAGTCCCCATCTGTGGGCACCATCGTCCAGACGGCAGACCAACCTCAGCCTCTCCCGGAGCCGTTGTAGCCCGCCTACAGCACCTGCTGCCTGTGACAGAGGCACCACCTTGAAACAGATGTCCCGAGTGGGACATTTCAGAGTCTGCCAGACAGAGCGGGGTGGTCCAGACTTCCACCCCTGGACATGACTCTTCCCATCGCGATGTGTTTGCCTCTGGGTGTCTCAGTACTCCTATTTGTTCAGCGGT